CTATTTACAATGGTTTCAATAAAAGACACACAGTACATCATAAAATAGGAAAAATTACTAAGTGAAAAACTCCACAGCCTATTGGATCTATAAGGCAAGGCAACAAGTAACTAGAATTCCAAAGCTGAAGACACAGATATATCTGTGAATATGTAGACTTATATTTTTATAAAGCCATAATATTGTAGCTCTAATTTATTCGCTGTTGTGTGTAGCAGTAACATTATAATATTAATAGTACGTATCTAATGTCTGTTTAGTATTATTTAAATTACTACTGCTGAAAATGTAAGTAATAATAGTTTACTATATTAATAATTAATAGAACTATTATTGTTTAGTATTATGAACCAACGTGAGGAATTATTGTTGAGAATGTTTTTATTGTAAGTGTGATAAAGTAATCGGCCTTAATGTGGGTTAAGTTTTTTAAGATTTATATTAAAATGTTTATTAGATCTTTTTTAAGTAAGTTAGAGACGTGCTGTACAAAGTTGGTCCTTTTAATATTAGAAACCATTAAAGTTTAAGACATCCATTCATTATCTAAAGGTGTAGAGGCACTTTCCGGTAATTAATGTGGGTTTTAGAGTTAATACTAGTGTAGCTAAATCATCAGTTTTAACTAGCTAATTGCAACCTTAGCCTATAGAGTTGTAAGTTTAATGGGATATATATCGGTGTTCGTCTGATATCCTTTTCCGCTCTTACCAAAAGTTTAAATGTATATTACCTCCTTTTGATCCTTGGCTTTGTGTTAACTAATCCGATGTTGTAAACTATTATTAATTCAATCAAACCATTGCTCTGGTTGACCATTAAGAAATCTGTAGATTTCTATATGTTAAAAGCGCAGGGTTTTTGTCAAAAAGTAGTATTCTTGTTTAATTAAAAAATTGTTTCGATTAAGCAATCATTACTTTTTCATACGTCTTATTAAATTGTAAATATATTATTTGATGTATTAAATGAAATTAGAAGCATCCAATTTTAGTCAAAAAGATTTTATCGTTTATATTGGATTGTATAGTGATTTTATATGAACTTTAGAAGTCAAAATGTCGTAGTTATATTTTATTAAAGTCTTAAACGCATTTTAAAATAGTTACTCAAAAGATAAATCTTATCATTTAATTTTACCAAATTTTGGAGATACTCTTTTGTGAATTAGGGAAGTAATGTTAATATTTTAAGTTTTAGTAAAAATGTCTGTTAGAAAAAAAAGAAAATAACTTCTCCAAATTAATATTCATAAATTTAATAAGAATTACTGTCATAAAAATAAAAATCTGTAGAAAATTTTAACCAAAAATTTACATATAATATTAAGTTGAGATAACGCTTTTGACTTAATAGTTGGTTATTATATATGTCATTATTATTATATGCCATTATTGGGGGTTTCAACACGCTTATTAGTTTCTTAAGAGCACGTTATGCTTGATATAGTAGGATAAGTAGGATAAACACGTAGAAGGATTTCTTTGACAAAGAATAATAACACGAAAGCCACCAAAACGTTCCATTTCAGCTACATGACAACAGGATAACGTTCCCATGGGGGTCCTTATGAAACTTTTATTTTTCTCAAGTCGATATAATCTTTTTGATTTAGTTTTATCGGCGAGACTATGTTGTAGTATAATAGTGAGGATGGTGGCAAGAGAACTGAAAAAATATTTGGTCGATTTTTCTTACACAGCTGTTTTTACCAAAAAGGCTTATAAGAGAAAGAATATACACATTTACAGAAAGAAATTCTGTCTCTCTTACTCAGAAATTGCTGTGTACAAAGTATGTATATATTTTGGTGTCCCACGGGTTTTCATATGCTTGCGTTTGAGTAATAAACATTTTATATGTGCTTTGAATTTCAAAATAGTTCTCTTTTTTAAGTAATCTTTTATCGAATGACATTATCTTCTTGTAATTGTTAGAGGTCAGTTTAGAGTATACACTTGAATAAACAAATTTTCATATAAGGTTAAACATTTGTTTTTGATCTTGATGCATATCTAACTTAAATTACTACGTTTAAAAAAACTAATTTAAAAGATATATTGAATAAATAAAAAAAAGTTTACAACAAATCTGTTCTATATTATTTTCCCAAACTTATAATTTCTCATTTAAATTTTATTTTATAAAAGTATTACAAGTATTAAAGTTGTCGATGGACGGCTTGTTTTATGAACCAAAGTCTTCAATATTGAGTGTTATACTAAACAATAGAAAACAATTTATTTATTTTCTTAGAAATTTATAGAATTAATTGACCGTAGAAATGAAATTACTATATAATGTATATTTGATAAGTCAGGTTATTCAACACCAGGATCGAACTTGAAACTTTGTGTTTTGGTTAATTTTTCATTTGAATGACATGCACTAATTAATTTTGGATATAAATGTATTTATTAAATTAACACAAAAAAAACCTTATTTTACTGAAAATCTCTTGGGTGGATTAAATCAGCCTATATTTTATACATAATCACAGAATATACAGAATGGACGTTGATAAAAATTTACACACCAAGTATACGAAGGTGATTAAATCAGTTGAACATTTTGAAGTTGGTAAACCAGAATATCCAAATCACTAAATTTAAACTATGTTAACAATTTAAAAATTTAATAATAATTAAAAACTGCTATTTTAAAACTAATTAAAGGTCGATTCACACTATATGGAATACGTCAACGTCACGTCACAGATCGGCAGGATCACGTCAAAATATTCAATCATGTATACAGGATGGCTCACCACTCACTGACAACTTAAATAACTTTTGATCCAGTTAATATTTTTAGCTGATTTTTTTTTTAAATAATAGTTATACGTTAGGTCTATAGCTATATCTCAATAATTAATTTTTTTACATTTTATTAAAAATATTAATTATTTTTAAATTTTAAATAAAATGTAAAAAAAAAATCTAAGATAGCTATTTTGTAGAGTAGAATTTAAGAAAAATTTTAGTAAAAAAATATCTTATTAATATTCAGTAGTAAATATTCTGTAGCGTTTTAAAGTTTGTGAAAATTTGAATTTTCATGTATTATTTTACGGTATTAAACATTGAAATACGTATTGAGAAAAGGACAGAAGAAAACCCTATCTTTTCATGATTACTATAATTTGGAGGTGTGTAACTTTTTCCATGAAAATGACTTATACTTTTGAATGAGAGTGATAAGTAATAATTGCTTTATCTAATTTCTTATCACGGTATTAATGCTAAGTTTGTAATGTATACACATTATCATCATTTGTATACACAGTAATCATGAAAAGATAGGGTTTTCTTCTGTCCTTTTCTCAATACATATTTCAATGTTTAATACCGTAAAATAATACATGAAAATTCAAATTTTCACAAACTTTAAAACGCTACAGAATATTTACTACTGAATATTAATAAGATATTTTTTTACTAAAATTTTTCTTAAATTCTACTCTACAAAATAGCTATCTTAGATTTTTTTTTTACATTTTATTTAAAATTTAAAAATAATTAATATTTTTAATAAAATGTAAAAAAATTAATTATTGAGATATAGCTATAGACCTAACGTATAACTATTATTTAAAAAAAAAATCACCTAAAAATATTAACTGGATCAAAAGTTATTTAAGTTGTCAGTGAGTGGTGAGCCACTCTGTATATATAATTATCGTTCGTTCACATACTCCGGCCACGTTACGTAACGTCAAAATCCGGTAATTTACATGGTTAAATATTTTGAAGTGACACTGCTGATCTGTGACGTGACGTTGACGTGTTCCGTATAGTGTGAATCGACCTTTAATATTCAATAGGTATATTGGATTACTAAGCGTATTAAAACAATTTTTTTTCGGGATAATTCCACATTTCTTTAAAATAAATACATTTTTATTCGATGTCGCTACAATAAAATCTATAACATTACCTACAGCGAAATAACTACTAATTATTGTTTACATTAAAATGTGTCCAAGGCCTGGATGATTTTATTCATGAGTAAAATAGTTTACAAAAAGAAATCTCTTCCCGTTCGTCAATTAGTCTTGGGTGGTAATCCCATTCGGCAGTTCATGACAGTTATCTCTTTCCGTCCAGATGGAAACCTATAAAAAGGTTTGACGGGTTCCGCTCGACGGGCTACGCGCAAAGAAAGTTTTTGGCCGACCCTTAATGGAAAATTCAATCGCTCTTGTTCGTCATCAGCTTCTTTTTGCTTCGCAAAATTTTCCGGATCAGCTCATCTCAATGACTTTTCTACAATACCGCTAGGATAATCAATTTCCTTTTGAAAATATCCACGTATGAAATATATACTATTGCTTTATTAAATAACAGTGTAGTAAAATCAATTACACAATATGAAAACTTATTTCTGGTTTCCGAATCATTGGAATGCAATAATGATGGTACGCTTTTACTAACAATATTTTGTTAAAAATCAAGTTCGCAGAAATTTTTACTATTTCTACTCGTTTATTACTTTATAAATAAAAGAAATAGGTACACTACTTATGTTACAAAATATAATTAAATAAATAACATTAATAAATTTTAATCTTCTACAATAATGATATTTATAATGATAAATTTAGCATATATTAGTAATATACTATGAGTAAATTGATGGTTTTATTTTGAAATTTAACAGATTTATCTTTTAAGAAGAAAATTTAAAAGATCGTTTATAATTATAAAGAAAAAGTTCCGGGTTTCAAATTTAATAATTTATGAGTAGCGAGCTGTAAAATAAATGTCAAAAACTATTATAACTTACTACTTTTATTATTAAAAAATATACATATTCTATGACTAACTTAGTAATAAAATTTGGTTTATGAATGGAGTATTCAACTCTGTCTATGGCGGTTAGATCTAAAACTATTATTAGAGAATTAATACATTTATTAAAAATTTGTTATACTCTTATTTATTCTTTTTTAAGTTTATTTACCTTTACTATAATACTTACAGTTTTACTTTTTATTTTAGCCAGCAAAGGAATGTTGAAAATGCTAAAATTAGATGTACCTTCCTGGGTTGATTATAAAGATTCAGCAACTCTCAATTGTCATTATGATACAGGTGGAGATAGACTGTATTCAGTGAAATGGTACAAAGATGACAATGAATTTTTTCGATACACACCCGAGTTAAGTCCGAACACTATGGTTTATGACTTAGATGGAGTACACGTAGACGTGAGTGAAGTTTTTTTTTTAATTTTTACTTCTAAAATAACAATAATAATAATAATAACTTATATTCCTGGGTTATTCCATACAGAGATAGGTTACTGCCAACAAAATGTAACCTAAAAAATTACGACAAAACTTTTCTTAAGATCTTGTGTTCGGCACTCGACTGAGTGAGCCATAAGATAGCGTTTGCCGGAGTCGTTTAAATGCAAGTTGAAACAATGAATGTTTTATCCTTTAGGTGTATACATTAAGTTTTGTGGTGAAAGTTTTCGACATCTTGACCTTAAACATAACCTCAAAAACATTATCACACCTATTTTCACTCGTCGAAATTTATGTGGACTTAACTTTTACCAAAAATCATGAATACAAACAAAAAACTCGTATTTGCTATTATTTTCTGGAAATTTCCACTTGAAAATCAAAAGTACAAAAAATGAAAATAATAATAATCATTTTTTATGTTTGATATTACAGAAAGAAAAATCATCTGCCAATTCCATTATATTATTTCCTTTGACAAGAAATAGCAATGGAATTTATAAATGCGAAGTTTCAACAGATGCTCCGAACTTTCCAACAGTATTTGAAGAATCAAATTTAACAGTTATTGGTAAATTTTGGCACTCAGTTTATTTAAAAATTTTAATTTACGAAATTTTTAAAAAAATCATTCATTTTTTTAGCGTTACCCATAAATGGTCCACGAATAGTGGGTATTCGAGAATGGTACAACATTGGTGAATATTTAGAGGGTAATTGCACTGCTAAAATGACATACCCTAAAGCGGTTGTAAATTGGTTTATCAATGGTTTAGAGGTAAGTTATGTTTTATTTTCTTGCTTAATAAAATATTACCTTATCCATAAGTAAAACAAAGACATTTATTTAAAAAAGTTTAAATACAAATAAACCTTTATAGTAGTATTTGCTATTACTACACTGACATCACAGATGATTGCTGTGGATTCTTCCTAAAAACTTTTGTCTTACTTGCTCAATAAAGCGCACTTGGATAATACGTACATTTGAGTTTTAATAATAGTTAAAAACTCGTTTAGTTTCCATTTTATGTGCGTTTGATTAAACATCGTTTACACAACAATATATGTATTGCTTATCGACAATATATTATTATTCAGTAAATATTCATTTTTTATTTATATATCAAATTTTGATGAATAAGGGAACTTTAAAATTTATAAAAGGATTTATTTTTTCGAGGAAGTAAATCAAAATAATATAATTTGAATTATTCAAAATCCATAAAAATATTTTCATATGTCGTATACTTAGTTTATAAAAAAAAATCGATAAATAAAGATATACTTTTGTTAAGATGTTTATTTTAGCGTTTTATTTTGCCCAATCTTGAATTTTTTCATTTATTTGTGTTTTAAAATTGCCTCAAAACTAATATTATACTGAAATATAAATAAGATAATAATGTTAAGAACATTCTCAATTATATTTCTTTGGTTTAATATTATAAAAGTATAACTGATTTAATTTGTATATTATATTATGTTATTGAGATGATATAAATATTTTGTTAGAGATATCTCACAATTTTTATCAAACGGAAAAAAATATTATTTCGTTAAAATTTAATATGATATATGGTGTAATTTGATGTAAATCTCTCTTTTGGATAAAATTACTTTCCATATTAGTTAAAAAGTATACAGTATACGATTAAAACTTTTCCAATTTCAATATTAAAAACTGTATTTTCAGGTAGTAAAAAATTCTTTGTTTAACTAAAATAAGTAAAATTGTTAATATTTAATGGAATAAAACTTATAATTTCTGTTCATTTTATAGATAAAAATACATAGAGTGATTATTGATTATTACTAAGAATTAAAAATATTAAAAATATTATAAATATACATTTAATGCATTTATAAATTTTCTATGAGCCACGTTGTATTGTCCAAATTTTGTAATAATTTTCCTAAGAATATATAAAATATCTCACGAGGTTTTGACAATTTGCCATTAAAAAGGTATAAGGATTTTTCAAAACCTCGTATGAAATTTCATTCAGTGGCATAGAAATATTTTTTTTATTTTTGATTTTATAGAGGAATAACCCTCTCCTACTTTTTCAAAACTATAATCTCGGTAACAATATATTAGTGATTTTTAAAATTAATTATTAAATAAACTGATAGCATATTTATAATATTTTAACAAAATTTATAAATGCATATAATTCTATGTATTAACGTCAAATTAACGTCCCAATATTTTGTATGTGAACCTTATTCTACGTTATGAACGCTCCTCAAGTGAAACTCTGAAATATCTCATAAAGTAGTAGCATAATAATTAATGTTAATGGCAAATTTTTAAATTACTACATTCTTACAATAGAGCATGAATTTAACATCTACAATATTTTATATAATTCATAGATAGACATTACAGAAAAGAAATTTTAAATGAATTAAAAAAAAAAGTAAGAACATAATGTTTCTAGTATTTTTCCTATAAATGACAAATCTTTATTATGATGTATATAATCATAATATAAAATAATCCCCAAAATAATTTTATTATTATGACACCATCGAAATAAACACATTATTTTGCTTTAAATGTATCATTTTAATTCATATCTATTTATTATACTGATGGAAACAATATTGCGTTTCAATAAAATATGTTCAAGTTTAAATTAAAAAAAAAAAACTTCTCGAGAATTTAATTAATAAATTTAAATTTGAATCACGAAACTAAATTTTTTATGAATATCTTTTTCCATTCAAGAATGAACATTCTCTTTGTACTAAATTAAACGTATTTAATTTTTATTTATCAAAACTTATTTGTAAAATAATTGAAGACTTATCAGTTAGAAATTTTAAAGTTAAATTGATTTCAAAATAATATTTATAATAATCTTTACAAAAAGTTCCATAAAAGTTTTTCTGCGTAATACAATTTTAGTGCTAAACAAGTGGACCCAACTGAATTCATAAATTTCATTGAACAATTCTAAAAATTAATAATAATTTTCTAAAATTTCTTTGTTGAAAAAATAATGACTTTAATATTAGAAATCTGATATCGTGCGATAGAAATCATATGCTTATGATCAATAGAAAATCCATTTATAGAAAATTGCAATTTAGTAGCGATGTTCTTTCAAAATATTATCAAAAGAACTGATGAAGAAATTTCAAGTAACCACAACTAAGAAGTAAACATTAATTTCAAAATTATTATTTTCTGTATTATATTGGTGGGTATCATAGTTCTAAGAAGTCGAAGATAATCAATTACCAATAAAATTTAAATACTAGCAAAACTACTTAAATTATTTTTATTTTTTAAATTTCATTTTGTATAATTTGCTTTCACTATGACTATTCACTAATAAGATTTGAGGTATTCAAGGAAGAGGACAAAATTTCAAGATCTTTACTTTAAATATTTAAAATAAAAAAACAAATAAACTAATCAAAAACAGTTTACTTAACAAAAAAAAGTGTTTTAGTTCTTGGACTTTTTACGTTCTTTTTTCTAATATCTGCCCACAGAATAATATATTTCGAGACTAAAAAGGTCTTATTTACAAAAGGAATCCTCTTTGCATATCAATCCAGAATAAAGAATAAAAAAAAGTCTACTTACAAAACAAATCGGTCAACCAACGATTTATTTCTGAATTATTTAGACGTTTTTACTTTTTCATTGAACTGATACCTAAACTTAGTGATTTATTAAAAACGCAAAATAGATACAATTTTATATTCTAACTCCATTTCAAGTAATATCAATGTACATTTCAAATAAATAAATGTCAAACTTATGCAAGTTTAAATACTTTTTAATTCGCTAAATTTTCAATTTCAGTTTAAGGAATGGAACCCAAACCCAACCATACATTAAATTCATAACTTAATTTTAAATAAAATAATTCTAAAAATGTACATAATATGTACACATATTATGTAATAGTAAACGTGGATTTTTTAAAATCTGTTTTTGAATTAAATGAAAACAGAAAATTTATCACTGCGAATAAAAAATTACCATAAGAAATGACTGTAGGGAAATAAATGATTTCGCGCATGATGTACACTTACCATTCGTCACACTCATCGAATTACCTTGTTGCCTATGGAAATGTTAAATTTACACGTCAGAGTAAAAATATATTTCAGTTTTATTTCAATCTTATTTCACTGAATTGTTCATGTCAGTAATATCATATTCATCAAACTAAACAAGACAAGTCCAATGTTCATTTTTGGAACATAAAAAATACGTCAAGCACACTTGCACTATAATCGTGATGTTGATATATATATATATATAAATAATTTAATTTAAAAAATGGAAAATATTCAATTAATTCTTATATTGTTGACTGCATTATTAAAACATATAATTATTACAATTTTTTCAGTAAAGGAAAAATGTTATCACTAAAAAAAAAATAAATTTTAATATAAATGCTTCAAGAACATTTCACCATAAATCATTCTAACTTATCTATATAAACTAATTAGCTTGGACAAATTATTTATGATAAAAGTTATACTTATGTTTTAATGAATGAGTTATAATTTTGTTACTTAAATTTAATGCCGATCATATTAGGAAAATGGAGCGCATGGTGAATTTCGCACTTCAATAGCTCGTTAGCTAGTGGTTTTTTTTGGGTATAAGAAAAAAAATCAATATCTGACTCAATTTATTCTATGCACAAAATTTAATCACAGTACTATAATTACTTTATTGTTAACAACCAAAAAAAGTTAATCCTTCTAAAATTGATCATTTTTCCCCTGAATAAATAAAACTTAACTAATTTATAGTCTTACGGTATTTATTTATTTAAAATTTGCGATGTTGATGAATATAAATAAATTATAAATGTGACGTTAGCATTTTAAAAAATGATCTCGGACTAAACTTTTGAATTTTAATAAATATTATAAATTTTTAAATACAAATTACATTAAATTTTTTAATTTTTATCAACTTTCGTTCGAAAATTAAAAGGATTGAGTTCTTCAATATAACACATTTTTGCAGATTTCTTAAATTTATGAACAACTATGTTATAGAATTTGTTTTTTGATTATTTCACACTAAAATAATGATGTTAAAAATTGCTTTGAACGAAATACTAAGCTATTTCCTTATGTCCGCATTATTATGATCAAGAGATAAAAATATTATTGTACAACATAAAATAATCTTATATCTATATTTATGCATCTATCCGAACGTCTCGAATTTTTATGACTGGAACGAATCGCTACGTTAGCAATTGTGTTTGTTTAGAATAATATAACCTAATAAAACTTTATACTGCTGCAAAGGTTTGCCGTGTGAATTTATGGTTTATACAATAACATTAACTCGAATATATGAAAAACAAAACAATGAAGATTTACAAGACCCATATGAAGAAAAATGTCATTATGATGAAATTCGAGTTCCCACAATAGGTGTTTGCAAATACCCTTCGTATTTTATTGTAACGTTAGAAACACAATACATGTAAACGAAGATAAATTTATAATCTAATCAACTTGAATTAAAGTGTATACATTGGTGATGTTTTCGAACATTTTGTTTCGTAGGAATACCTTAATTTCATAATTTATTCGTTGGCAACACCACCAACGCCACCATTGAGAGCTAGGATTTTGACGTACATACACCTAGATTGATACTCATCCCTAGAGATACATAGCACTGGTTTAAATGCGCTAAACACTAGGAGAAACGATTAGCAAGTCAATCGTTTTGTGTGTGTGTGTAATTATTATGTTTTTTTTTGCACTATTTTTAGTATTTGCTATATGGTTCTATTGTGAATATTAGTCCATAGTCGTTTTTATTGACTAATCGTTCTTGTGATTCAAAACACTCTATACTCTTTATTTAATCGCCTAGCAGCTCTATGACCCTGTGCGTATCGTGTGTACTATCGTTTATACAATTTGTCTCACTCCCTTGTGCATGGAGAATTCTAACGAATGTTATCATACGAGACCATTGTATCAATCTCGATATCCAATTCAATCTTCTCTTCGTCTGTACTGTCTGTCATCAGGTTGAAAAATTGATAAAATGTATTATTTGTTTGATAGTATTTATTAAATTAGTTAAGCAAAGCTCCCTATCCCAATCGGTATAGTATTTGTTTGTCTAATTTTTTATTATATTGATCATCTTAAGTTTCTTTTTGATTGTAAATATCCACCTTTTCTAAATACAGTTCGCCCCTCATCTAATTACTTTTCATCAATCCTTTCTTGATAACAAAAACTAAACTACGTAAATAGTATCTAATCCAAAAAGTCTTAACAACTGGGCGATTGATTATATACAATACTACATAGTATATATATTAAGTTATTATTTTTATTACTGGAAAATTAATAACTTGTACAGTAAGACAAAAAAAAAATTTTTTTCGCAAGATGCTCGTAATGTCAGAGGTTAATAATAGTTAACATTAATTTAAATATAAGTATGATAAAAAATTAAATCTTACGCATTAAACATTGTCTTTCATAAAAATGTAGTCATTCATTTATAGATGTAAAACAGCCTACTGAATTAATACTGGAACTCATCAGCAACTGGTCTGTCATCAATATCATATACTTTCTTTATTTTTTATATTAATTTTAATTATTATTTAATTATAACACTATATTAATCAAAAAAATGTTATACTATAAATTTTAATATTATTTTAATATTTAAATATCAAATACTATGACTTCTACAATTTAGAAAAACGTTTTGGCTTAATAGAAGCTCTATAATTATTTGCACATATATATTTGAAATTTTTAATATATTTGAGTAGTAGTTTTATAGTAATTGTTTTTGTCATTGTTAGTTTTTAGTTATACTAAATTGAATTATAGAAATAAGTTTTTACGTAGTCACCCAAGTGAGTCATTATAATGTGATATAATGTTGTGAATATATGAAGTGAAATGATTTTATTCTAACGTTAATAGCAGTAGGCAAAGTTTATATGGCATACAATAAGTAATGAAATAGAAATTCACATTGTACAAGTTCATAAAGAATATTTTATTCTCAACTTTGCAAAGTTATAAAAAGTAGACAGTCAATCATTTCAAACGGTTCATGGAACTCGATCGCTAAAAATTCATTACTACTATTTGTATTCGTAATTTTCCATTTTTTGAAATTTCATAAAATATTTCAAATTAGTGAAATCATGTATTATTCTGTATGATTTGTTTTTTATTTTCAAAAATAAAAAATAGTACTAATAATTTGTTACAAACAATAATATGCCGAGTATAAATAATTTATCAACAATATACAAATGGACCAATAATTTATTTTCTTATCCTGTGCCGAACATTTTGATAAATCGACAGTTAAAATAGAATTGGATGTAGACATGCAATTTATTTTGTTTAATAGTTATATAAATAACTATGTTTGCGGAATATTATGTCATCTTAATATATCTGGAAATAGTAATTCAATACTGTAAAAACTCTATATTAACAGTTGGAGGTTTTATTACATAAACATTGAATAATAAATAAAAAAAATACCACCATTATGAATTTTTTTTGGAATTTCCTAATATTCAATATTAATCATTGAAGACGCAGCATATTGTAAATTTTAAGAATAATACTACGTAAGCTTTTGGAACACTATAATTAGAGAAGATTCTATGAAGAGTCTTAAGTGAATGTTTGACGGGCGAAAACTTAGATGAAAACTGTTTCAAGAAAAATTTTCATCGTTTCCACAGTATTATTACTTTCTAAATAAAGTAGAAAAGGCTTAAAGGATGTCGACAAGAATGAAAAATAAAAACCAATATGCTCTATCAAAATCGGTGGTGCCGCCTGATCCATTAACTGCGATCTGCCTTTTGTTCGAATCTGTGCAGTGTAAAAGCTTTGTACAACATATAAATGCACTTTCTTAGAAATTCCGAACAACAATTAAATGTTGTTTGTCGATCGAAACTCGTAGTGTAAAAACACTTTCTATAGTTTGGGAATAAGAATTGTAGTATTCCGGCTGAGTAAACGTAAACGCAGACGAGTCCATCCCACATTATCCGTCCGGTTGGATCTTTAAAGACAATAATACATGTTTGACTACTCTAGGGTTGCTTCGCGCCTTTGAGAGAGAAATCATTACATGGGTGCTAACCAACTGTCTGCTGGAAATTATCACCCCAGTCCTTTTATCCCTTTATTATTTATAAGACTATGGTACTATGTACCATTGAGTAAAAAATAAATTACTTAGATTTAATTAACATTTAGCTATTAAATTGTTACTTGCAGTTTAAATAGACAGTAGAAGCAACTTTATATTCTCCGCAAAACGCTTATACCCATTGAGATGGGTATTTATAAAAACAAATTGATTGTAATATTGACAATAATATTGTTTCATCTACTTAAATAAAACTTAAATAACTTTAAGGACGTTCTATGTTAGCAATTACATTGATTGTAATAACTGAATACCCTTTTCTAAAAAAATATTACATTTATCATTAATAGATTTTATTTCATAGAGGATGAATTGTATTCATATTTTTAATGGCATGTAATATTTATTATAAGATGTATTTTGAATGTAAGAAGGTATTTATTTATTACATTAAAATAACGGTGTAGTACTTAAATGAAGAAATAGTACCAAAGGTAATATGATATTACTTAAAATAAATGTCAAATGAAATAACATCAAATGAGTGTTCTGTAATTAGATCCCCCAAATTGTTACTTGTAAATAAACATTTTTTATTAAAAAAGAACAGTAGTTTTTAATTATTCAAACGTCTTTAATACTTTAAACTATTTAATTGTATTCTACAAATATGTAAGAGGAAACATAGAGACATTTTTTTATTTATTTGTAAAACATGTGTATAGTTAAGTTATATAGGCTACTTGCTACTTTTGATTATTCCTAACCAACGTAACCTAAAAAAAATTCTTTTTTACGCCACTGGCTAAAAATACTTCAAGTTTTATATTTATTAGATACAGATGAATATTCGCATAGATGATTTATTTTTATGAACCATAAAAAATATCAAGTTTGTTATAAGAAAATATTATTTCTAAATATTGATTTTAGGAGTACTTCTTGTAAGTTAAATGAAAAGTTATTATTTTATTATTTACTACTAAATGGAGAATGATTTAAATAAAATAATTTTCAAAATAACCCTTAGGAATACTTTTTCTTACAAAAAACTTTACAATTAACAAGGTATATAAAAATTAATTACATTTTAATCTATATATTTTTATAAAAAAAAAATGTATAGTAGTATACTTATTAAATTACACTGTATATAATCCGTCAATGGTATCAATATTAGGCTTAGATAAATATATTTTGTATTGCAGGTGGACAACTATTTGTTAGAACACTATCAACCTGAAGAATCAGATGGTCCATTTTATAACATTACTGTTGGTCTGCGTTATCCGTTAAAGAAAGAATGGGTAGACATGAATAAAAAGACCATTGATGTTAAATGCACTGCCAAAATTGCTGGAGCTGACATTATGGTTGATGAGACAAAAATTGGGTTACGTCTAGCAACTGATCATACTCTGTCGCAAGAGAGACATATTTACAATTCTGGTAACTATTGCCGAATAAGCACATAATTTTTTAAGATCTTTTTATAAAATAGACATAAAATTATGAAAACCGAGTTCATAAAATTTTTCTATTATAGTCTAGCTGTTATTATTACGAATAATCTTTTTAGATTGATTTAGGATTTTTAAAATGTGTATTATCACCAAAAGTATCACAATTCTTAAACTTACTTGATTTTCTTCAATATTTAAGAAATTTAATAAAGAATTAATTAATATTATTTCAACTTTTCGAAAAATTAAGTTTATGACACTTTCAAGAAAATCTGATTAACACATATATACTTTAATGGTAAAGGAAATAGGAATAATTTTTTTTCAAAAATGAAACTTATTTTGTAATATTAACGGTGAAAGATCAAATATAATTTAAATTAAATGCTCTATTGTCGTAGTATATAATAAGTAACACTATTAATAATTATTATGGATTAGGATAATATATTTATAAAAGTTATTATTTAAATATAGATTTAATTTCAAACAACCTCCAATTATTTTATTCGTTTTACTTAATGTGCTTTTAGATGTACATATTAGGTTTGATCAGAATTTTTATTTTATAATTCTGGTTGTATTGCTATAATATTTTCCTATTGATGTAAAAGCTCATAAAAAAAAATTGCGACAGGCGAGCTTGAAGTTTAGGTAAAAATTAATTATTTTATTTATTTATATGTTTTGTGTTACAGATATTTTATTAACAATAATTTAAATTGTTTCAAAATAACCTCAATTAAAAATAAATAGATTTAAATAATTTGATTAAAAATGATTTAAATATTCACCAAGTTATAAGACTTTAAATATAACATAAAAAAAAAACACTTTTTAAAAAGATATAAAATTGAAAAAAAAAGTTATTTTTCATATTCTAAGCCTTATAACAGGATTATTATTCAACTAATTTTTAATCAGATGCTTCTTAATTTGTTTGCTTTTCGTGTAAATTATTTTAACTTTTCAACTCAAATTATTCTCAACAAAATATCTATGAAACAAGTTATTAAACTAAAAAATTATTTGATTTTTATCAAACATTAAGATTATAAGTTGGAAAATTAATTTTTTTAGATATAGTTACTATAGAGTTTTTATAGTCAGTAGAAGCTACTATAATAAAACGTTCAAAAAATAAAATGAAAATTCTGAACCGCTCAATTACATATAGTATTTATTGGCTTGAAATATTATCTTTCACAAAATTTTTTTGTTTATTCTTAATGCATGCACATATTTTAGTAAAATATTATATTTTATTAGACAAAGCTATAGAAATAATAAGTTATAATTGTTACCAACAAAAAGAACATGATATATGTTCGAAATGATTAAACTTTTTCAACAACTCTCAAGCAAAATGAATACTAATATTGATAAGAAAAATGTACTAGTAAATTTGAAAAATAAATTATTTATTAAGTGTTTGCTCACATTACCATTGGTTATGATCAAATCCTTCATAATTGTTATTATAATACAATTTAATTGGGGATTTTTTTCAGGTACTATGAATACTAGTTACTGGATAATTTTACTGGCAGTTTTAATTTCATGTTGCCTCAAGTCTTACTATTAATTATAATTAATTCTTACAATGTGATTATAATTAAAATAATTTATTATCACGAAGAAAAGAAAAATTACAAATACATAATTGATGATGTATCAAGAGTTTTAAACATTTTAATTTCTCTCCACGCTTTTTAAGTCAACAATATGCATAATAAAAGTGTTATGAACTTTTGTTTTTAAAAGGCTTCTTCAATATGAAGCAGCAGTTTTAACAAATATGGCGGGTAGGTACGCGTGCAGTATCAATTAGAGAGTTTTACTGTTTAAAAACCTCTAAAGTTTTTAATGGAAAATAAAATTATTTTATATAAAAGAGTCACTACTTTAAAAAGCTTTTAAGGAATATTATCAGATGAAAAATGTTGTTAAAAATATAAATACATGTATACTTACATTATACTAATCATATAAATTAATTTATTAATAATCACACTCTAATGATGTTCAAAATAGCGCACTATTCTTTAAATTCATTGAGTTCGTTGAATTCATCCCACATGAATTTATTATGTCATTTAAGTTTGTATAACTTATATCAGAGATGTGTAATGTTACCATAACTCAACACTTGTTCATAGTCCTAGAAATAATGAATATTAAATTATACATATTTAAATATTTTTTGTTAAATTGTGAGTATAAGTGTTATTCAAAACTAAATAAATATATTATAGTATCAAATGTAAATATACTAAATTATTGTTAAAAATATAATTTTTTTAATATTCCTAAATAATTGTAAAATAATGTCAACAAAATTATCGATTTATTATTAAAATTTAATATCTAGATAAAAATGCTAAACATAAATGTTTTTTAAGTATGTTAAAAAAATAATTTCTTTTTAAAACTATTAACTATGAAAAATTCAAGTAATTTTAATAAATCAAAAGTTATCAAACATGCTTAATAATATTTAAGCCAATCTCGCAATAAATTGGTATAACTATACAACAACAATAACTTGAATATTTTATATATTAATAGTAGAATTTCAACAATTAATATATTTATGCAGCTATATTATAATGATCCTATCTATTAGTTTATTACATTGATCAACATTTAAGATATGCAAAAAACACTAAATTGTAAGTATTATAAGTAAAATTATTTACAGAAAGAGATACATTATTAAATTATTCTTATGGATTTCATTTCACAAGTGAGCAAGGTCGTTTATCAATTTATACTTTGAGCTATTTAATATTCAGCTGTTCAATTTTGTTTATCATTGAAAAAAAAAATTTTTTGTATCTTTAAAATTTTTTAATTAGTCTCTGTTATTTAAAATATTTTAAGTATTCCATAAATTAATTGCTGAAGGTAAAATGTTAAGATTTCTAAAATAATATTTCACTTACATAATTTGCCACAAAAAAATCTATAAAAAATCAAATTAAATTAATAAGTTTTTAATTGTTTTTACATATATATTTTTAGATAAGGATATAATTTTTTTTAATAAATTGCAACATAGTAAATTAGGTTATTGAAATTATTCATCCATATTATTCAAATTTATCATGATATAATATTAATTTTAATTATATTTATTCATTCATGTTAAATAATTTTTAAAGTTTGTTAATTTGCGTTATTTATTGTATTATTTTTAAGTAATTAAAAATTATATTATTATAAAATTGTATACAAATATAAACTTGTAAATACACTTTTTGAAACAAAATGTTTATTTAGTTAGTTAATTAAAAAAAATATATAACTAAATCATCGACGTGTCATTTCTTGTTGAGCGAGTACAAGAATGAGAAAGGTAGAAGTAAAAAAAAACAATAGTTTGTAGAAGATCATTTTAAATCAAAGTGTCGAATAAAAATAAATATATAAGATGTTTTTATTCTGTTATAATAGATAATTGATAATTGTTTTATGGTATTTTAAAATGATCCGTAACTGTTTAATTCGTTTTGGAACCTAAGTGTCAGACTATTATTAGAACTAATTTAATTTCAAGAAAAGATGCAGTAAATTATTTTAGCATGAATGTGTAAGATACCTTACAATAACTTATTGGATATCAAGTTATTATTTATATTTTTCAATAATAAGTGTTCTTTTTAACCTAAATATTTGTCAATATTAATTTTCGCATATAGATATAGTAAATAAAGTATAATTAATTATTTAACCACATATTGGTCGTTGAACCATGTTATCAAACAACCTTTTTATAAAAAATCGATAGTATAAAAATTCAAAATATTTCACAAGCAAATATTTACCATTTATGCATCAAATTCAATTTTACTAAAAAAATTAATTTTTTAAAAGTAAAAATAAACAAATACCTTGCATAATATGAATATTTTATAGCTAAATTGTAAATCATATAATTTGTTTTCATTTTTTTCGCGTTTCTTAACTTTAATGTGAAGTCAGAAAGGTATTGGTTTTACTATGAAGTGTTTTTTTATGTGTTTGTTCATGAATATTCTCAACTCTTACTGGACCGATTTTGTTTATAAAGAACTTAAATTTAATATAACTGAACCTATTGCCAACAAAAATTGAAAAAATCCTCTCAATTTTAAATATATATTTTATTAGCAACTGCAAAAAATGACAAATTCAGATACTACGAGTACAAATATTTTTTTTTAGCTTATTAAATTTTTAAAGAGTGACAAATCTTAACTTATATCAAATGAAAGCTCTTAAAATTTAATTTATAATTGGAAAAAAAAACTTTTCAGTGATTGGATTTTCTATAAAAATTTAGCTTCTAAGATCTTGAGTTTCTGATTAAAATAATATATTATAACAATTTTATACAACAACACAGTGTTTTAATGTATCTCAAAGATTATAACGCATATATCTAATTGGCGGATTCATTGTAACAATGTAAAACTTATAATTATCTAGTAAACTAATATTGAAGTCTTTGCAATTCGCATTTTTATTAAAGAGTTGAAAGACGTTAAAAGCCCTCTTTAGTATATTTTACTTAGAATGGTGTACAATTTTTGTATAAGATTTCATAATTTCATTTGTTTATCTTTAAAAAACTAATATTATCATATTGCATAAAAGGTATTTTATCTTGGAAGCCTGAATACTTGAAACATTTCACGAATGAAATTTAAACGGGCGTTATTTTATTTTACCTCTACATTACAAAGTGGCTGGAAGGCGTGTTATGATCAGCATACGAACGTACACACTGAATATTATTACATCGTCTTCGGTTACTGCCTATAGAGTAGGAGCTGTTTTGCTAGACGGTACACACGATGAATATAAAACAGCAAACAGATATGGTGGATAATGTGCATAATTATGTTCAAATTTTTGAAATGGAATTGAAATTCATGAACCCTTAATTTCTGAAAACAGTTGTGGAATAACAATATAATATACAAGAGTATTGAGTTCTAGACGAGATAAATTAAAACTGATAAAATTAAGTGCCACGTGTGTGTTCCGTAGAAATCAATTATTAGTAACACAGTTCAATCATATACAATCGTCGGGCATGTATTTAATTATTGACGATTGATCATAAAATATTGAAAACCATTAAGATTTATCGAATTCGATTTACTGGAAGTAAAGTTCCTAGAACTCAACAAAATTTCTCAAGTATAATATACTTTACTTACGTTTCCAAGAAGTTTTAAAAAAATCTATAACGTTATTATAGATATTGTTAAAATTATTACCGTCATTAAAATGCAACATAATTTCTAATAAATATGCACATTTTTAAAACCCTGTCTCTGGAAATTCAACTTTTCTGAGACATTGTAATTTGAAATTGACGTTAATATACTTTATCATAATTAAATAAAAAATGCAAAAATGTAGAAAACTTCAATTTTTGATGATTTTGCTACCACTGTTGTTTTATCCCTTTGTATTATACTCTGCGAGATGGTGTTTATTATGACTCGGTTTTGTGAGGCAGCAATAAGGGGCGAGTCAGGGGGTACACTCGGTAACATTATGGGAAGGGAAAGCAGTGGTGCGTTGGAGTAGAGAGGATGTTGCCAACTTTTGATATAATAACAACGGACAGCGCGTGAACCGAGGGACTATAAAGATAATATCACCGCTGTCGGAGATCTTTTAGCCATAAATTTTACTTATAAACCGAATGGAGAAAGTGTATGAGCGAGAGAGAAAACGTGCATGTGTATGTATCAGAATAAGAGGTATATCCTATCATACACTAAGCGGTTAAAGATAAAAGGTAGAATCATCTTTTTAGTGTGAAGCCTTTACCACCTTAAACTTAAAATGCGAATTACAATTTACTAGTAATTTATTTCTTTTAATATTATTTATATGAGAATAATTTTATGACCTCACTCAATTCAATATTATGTATTTAATGTAAATAACGAAATACCTCGTCATTAATTACCTTGATTGGCATAGGAAAATACACAGTAATAGTATTTGCAAATTTTACAGCAGAACAAAAAAATTAGTTTGTACCTGACCTTGTACGTTTTTTATATTATGACATATTTTTAAAATACGAAAAAGCATTTGGGACTTTAATCAAAAACTGATTTATAAAATACATTTTAAGCATTTTTTAATTCACACGTGTTGAATTTCCTTTCTCTTATTACTTTTAATTGCATTAGTTTTTTATTTTTGTTTACATTTTATACTCCTCTGACATCGCCAATTATATAGTAACGCACTCATTTTAATAAAATCCAAACATTTCTTTGTGAAACGTCCTACATTTGTAAAGTTTCATTTTAAAAATAAAACACTGCTGTTTTTCATATTCCGTATCAACTTCATTTATTGCGATATTCGATCATTTTTAAAAAGTCTGAAAATTAGTAATAAAATAATAATAAACAAAATAAAAAATGTATTCTCATTTAAATAATAAATTTCAATTTCAAAACTTTAATAGAGAACCTTACGTAAGTTGAGATCAATACATTATGTTTAGCATATTCAAAGAGGACTTTAGAAACTCATTATTTTCATTATAATAGAAATATTAATATTTTTGAAATTTTTCTTATATTCTCGATATGTAAGTTTCAATTTTTTTACTGTCAAATATTTTAAAGAAAAATTTTACTAAAAATTTTCTATTTTTTTTTGTGTAGATGAATTTAATTTAAAGTTGAAATGTTCAACTATAAACTGTTTAAACAGTTTTAATATGATAATATCAAGTTTAACCAATTCAAAAATTATATTTATTTGCAAAAAAAAAAAAAAGTATTTATTATTTTGTTATTATAATTTTATTATGTATTTTTAGAATTTTTTGAAATTAACCACAATTTCAAAAAGTAGAGCTGATATCGAAATTTAAAGCTTAATTCGTAATTAACTAAAATTTTTGCAAAATATGTGTTGGCCAGTGTAATCTCATTTTTTTCACATTAAATTAACATCAACACAATATAAATTTACCGAAGAAGAAAACAGGAGCTGAAACTTATATTCTGTTATCTTCATTGTACATGTAACTTTCTATTTAAAAAACCATAATTTTTAGGTGATTATCTCTGTACGTAAATTTGAAATTCAAAAGTTTTTAGTTTAAACAACCCGCCTAATCAAAAAGTTTTTAGTTGTATAAATATTTTTGTTCATTTTACACTATACTGCAAATTTTGATTAATATTTACCCATGATGGCGACTTTGATTACTCTACTATGTACTCTTTACCGTATTCTGGGCACAACTTTGCGTTCGAGGTAGATTTAAATTCGGCGCGCTTAGTCAATCCGGATACGCACGGATCGTTTAACTCACACTCCC